CACCTGCAGCCTCCTGCACGCATAATGTGTAAGGAAAAAGTCAACCCCGCCCCTCGACTTGCTCCGCGTCTTTTGTTTTTAACTACAAGGCCAAGGGCGAACGCTCGCCGCCCCGGGTCAGTCTTTTTTTTTCCATCATGCGCATCAATGGACAGGTACGGGGGGAGGAGGTTGTCTCTATTCTGTGGGGTGGACCCACGACCAGGCCAATCCCCACCCCCTCAAGGCTGTATCCGGCTACCTCGCCTTGTTCGGGGTTTAAGTGCGCGAACGTGTGTGTGTGTGTGTGTGTGTGTGTGTGTGTGTGTGTGTGTGTGTGTGTGTGTGTGTGTGGGTATGTGTGTGTGTGTGTGTGTGTGTGTGGGTATGTGTGGGTATGTGTGTGTGTGTGTGTGTCTGTGTGTGCGTGCGTGTGTGTGTGTGTGTCTGTGTGTGCGTGTGTGTCTGTGTGTGCGTGTGTGTCTGTGTGTGTGTGTGCGTGTGTTCGTTTGTCTTCTGTCTCTCCGTGCGTGCGTGTATCTGCGTTTATGTGTAGCTGTGTCCATGTCTGCCCGTCTATTCATGCACACGTCCATGACTATCACTGAGTCGGTTCGTGATGTGCCCAATGCTCATCCCCACTCCACACCAACTCCACCAACTGTCTCCTCCCCCCCCCCCTCACATCTCCAGTCGACGGAGAGCGAGATTGCGCTGTGGACATTTGGCGGCGAACCCCGCCTCGACCTGCCAGAGGTGGTGATGGTGGTGGTGGTGGGGGGTGGAATGGGGAGTGGTGGAGGCATTTTGTTTACTGCCTGTGCTGCCTGCTGCGTGCTCACCGCTGTACATATTTGTGGTTTCAGGAGCGACGGGAGTACTTTGGAGATCCAATCACAATCGTCCGCAGGTGCTGATGACACGGCAATCACAGCGGCGGTGCACATGTGAATATGTCGATGGTATTGTCTCACTCACTCACACACTCACTCACTCACTCACTCACTCACTCACTCACTCACTCACTCACTCACTCACCACGACAGGCTGCCGCTGGACAACTGCAACATCTGGTTTGTCAAGTTTGACGTGGAGGCGACGTTCACCTTTTTGGCGGCGGGGAACCAAGGTGGGGCCGCACGCACCGTGTTGGGTGGTGGTGGTGGTGAAGGCAATGGTGGTGGTGGCAAGCGCGCTCGTGTACACCTGCACATGTTCTTGTGCTCGCACGTCAAATCGCACTCGTGCACACACACACACACACACACACACACCACATCACATCGCACCACATCACCCACTCATACACTTTTTTTCAGCCGGCAAAGTGTTCCTGTGGGACATGACGACGCTCACGAAATCAACAGCGCCAATGTAATCACTTGCCCCTTCACCCGCACGTGTGGTCGCTGCTGTTGAGTGTGCACACGAGTGCTCCACTCACTTGCTTACATCCTTGTCAGCTCACAATCATCCACCTTCCATGTGTGTGCAGTCAAGTGCTGCAGCATTCGCGGGCGACGCGGGCAGTGCGACAAGTGGCCTTCTCCGCAGACGCAGCGTAAGAACACGCTTTCACACATCTGCGTATTATACACATTTGGACCCAATGCCCTTGTGCCAACAGAGTACATCTATTCCTCTCCTCACGCCTATACCACCCCTCTCCACCCCCTCCTCTCCACCCCCTCCGGTTTCCTCGTCGCAGGATCATCGTGTACGTGTGCGACGACGGGTCCATACACCGCTGGGACCGCATCAAGTCGTGATGGTGATGGTCATCGTGTAGCGTCGTGGTGGTGTAATTGTGAGGTGTGGGTTGTGTACACACGTCCGCCCTCGCCCACGCGTTGTTTCTCCAACAGGCAGCCTCTGTTGTGCATTCCGCTTTCTTCTCGGCTATCGCTTGGTCTAATTGAAATCACTCGAGCTCTCAACGCAACAGCGCCCAAAGTATCGCGGCCTCAAAGCCAATGTACACACTACACCTGCACACACACACACACACACACACACACACACACACACACACACACACACACACACACACACACACACACACACACACACACACATGCACGCACGCACACTTGTTTCACTCATTCAGTTGCACGCTGTCCATGCCAGACTCCAACTGCGGCACCGCCTGCTGCTGCTGCTGCTGCTGTTGGTGTTTCTTCTTTGATCCCTTGCCGCCCTTTTGCTTCTTCCCCTTCTGCTTGCCCGACTTCGGCCCCACCGTGGTCCAGCCATCGTCTTCTTCCTGCTCCTCGTTGGCGTTACCGTCCTGCCCATCTCCCTCCTCCTCATCATCGTCATCGTCATCGTCATCGCTGTCGTCGTCGCCGCTGGCATCATCGCTCTCCGCCATCGCGTCTGGTTCGGCGCGGCGGGGTCGTCGACCGCGGGCCCTCGACGACTTGGCGTGCCTTGCCTCCGCTTCCTCACAGAACTTCTGCAGTTCAGCTGTGTTGTTGTTTGCCTGGAGGCGGAACAGATCCACCAGCACTGCCGCAATCTGCACGGCAGCGACGCCACGACATGAGATGGTCGTTGGTGAGACAAACTATTTTGAGCAAGGCAAGGCAAGGCTCGTGAAACCCACGACATCAACAGCATGTACAATCACACAGCAATCGCGGTCAACAAGCGGGCACTCACGTCGCTGGCCATGCTGCCGTCGTTCATGACGTTGAACTCGTTTGTGAAGATCTCCCCAATGTACCACGCCACCTCCTGGGCCGTTGGTGGCTCTGGTGTCAGAGCAAGGAGGTGTGCAGATGGATGAGATGATGGCAGTGTGGATAGTAGCGTGGATGGTAGCGTGGTAATAGTATGAGCAGTGTGGGAACAGTGTGGTAATAGTGTGGTAATAGTGTGAGATTGTGCACAACGCGATCACACACGACACACACGCAATCACGGCACAAAGGCGTCACACACACACACGGCACACACACGTCACACATACGCACATATCACACCACACACACACACACACACGGCACACGCATCACAAAGCGTACCGCCAGGAATCTCGAAGAACCACTCTGCGACGACCTCCTTCATCCACTCCACCTTCTCATCCGTGTGCTCTCCACCCCACTGGTTGTCGATGGCCTTGCCCACAACATCCCAGTCATCAAAGGCATGCCCAACACCAGCCTGGAACAGCGCTTTGCTCTCGCCAACACCTTCCATCTTCGCTGCCATGTGCTTTGTTTGTGCGTGTGTGCTTTGTGTGCTTTGTCTGTTGGTTGCTGAAAATTGGTTGATAACTTCAGCAAATCTTCATAACTGTGGGTGGTGCTTGTTGTTGTGTTGTCGTTCCACCATTTCCACCTCACCCCTTGTTGCTGTTGTTGGCACTGTTGTTGTTGTTGTTCTCCTCTCCGTTCCCTTCGTCATCCTCTCCTCCAACACGCATCGCACTCAAACACACGCGCGTCGTTTAGTGTTGGCACCTCTTCGCTTACGCACTGACTTGTTCCTTTTTGCCGTCGCCTTTGGTGAGTGTTGTGTTTGGGAACGAAGAGTGTGCGTGTGTGCGTGTGTGTGTTTGTGAGTGTGTGTGTTTTGGTTTGATCGCTGTGTTGGGCATCAACCTGACTCTGCTGTACATCACGGGGTTGCAGGAGTTGCCGTTAGCTTGGCTTGATTGGAGGCCTAGTGAACCAGCTGTCACATACCCGTCGCCCAGCACAGGTTGGAAGGTTGGCTTGGAGTGCGCAGCATGGTGCGCAAGGTCGCTGTTGTTGTGTGGAGGGTTTGGTTGTTGTTGGATGTAATGTAATGTGTGGGGAGCGTTGCGATCTGTGCATGTGTTGTGCGTGTACTCATGTGACTGCATGCGTTTGTTTCTGGATACACGCTGTTGAGGCAGGCGGGATGGCAGAGAATTTGGTGACGCAAGTCGACCAAAATGGACAAACAACGCCCATCATCCCTGTTGATGGTGAGTGATGCACTGTGTTGGCTGTGGGGTTTGTTGTTGTTGTTTAAGTTGTTGTTGTTGTTGAAGTTGTTGTTGTTGTTGTTTAAGTTGTTGTTGTTTAAGTTGTTGTTGTTTAAGTTGTTGTTGTTTAAGTTGTTGTTGTTGTTGTTGTGTCTGAATCGACACTGCTCAGTGCATACAAACACACACTCCTTCACACACACACACACATACACACGCACGCACGCACATGCACACTGCTGCTGCAGAGGATGAGGATAGCCAGCAGTCGACGTCCTGCTTCTGCGGGTTTCTCTTTTCGCGCTGCAGAAGAAAACGCCACAATGCACCAGAGGCACCGAGGCCAATGGTGACCTGGCAGCCGCCCGTGGTCAGTTGGTGGTCTGTGTGTGTGTGTGTGGAGAAGGGAAAGCTCGTGATGCTGCTGTTCTTGTTGTTGCTCTCACGCTGACACGTTGCTTCAAACGCTTCGCATTGACCCCATGCCACCCCCTCCATTTTTCTTTCCATCGACAGCACCGGGATCCTGGCCACAACTTGCTGCCGGAGCCCGGGAGTCCGCACACGAACAGGAAATGCTTAGTGCTGGACTTGGACGAGACCCTCGTGCACAGCTCATTCAAGGTGATTGCGATGCACATCTGTGTTGAGAAGGGGGAAGGGGGTTTACAACGGTTGCCGTCATAAATCATGTGCACGCTGTGCTGCATGTCTTCCTTGTGTTGCCTTGTGTTTCCAAAGTTCTCACCTGTGCATGCTCAACGGTCATTCTTACCGCCACCTTACTCACACCCACCTCACCATCATCCCACCTCACCCCCATCACCACCCACCATCATTGTTTCAGCCCGTGGACAATGCTGACTTTGTGATTCCGATTGAGATTGACGGGATTCAGCACCGCGTGTATGTGCTGAAGCGCCCGCACGTGGACGAATTTCTTCGTGTCGTGGGCGGTCTCTTCGAGGTTGTCCTCTTCACCGCCAGCCTCTCAAAGGTGGGGAAGGCGAGGTGTTGGGGATGGGGGCAAGGGGGGAGTGTTGTTGTTGGTGTGTGTGTGTGTGTGTGTGCGTGTGTGCGTGTGTGTGTGTGTGTGTGTGTGTCTGTGTCTGTGCGTCTGTGTGTGTGTGTGTGTGTCTGTGTGTGTCTGTGTGTGTGTGTGCGTTCTTAATCATTTGCACCTTCCCCCTTTCGCACTCACTCACTCACTCACTCCCTCACCTCTATCACCGCCATCCCCTTCCCCCACTTGTTCACATCAGTATGCGGACCCCGTGGCGGACCTGCTTGATCCCGGGAGCGCCATCGCCCACCGCCTGTTCCGCGAGCACTGCGTCATGTCCCACGGCGTCTTCATCAAGGTGCGCACGGGAGGTGGTGGAGGGGAGGGATGTTGGTGTGTTGGTGTGGGGGGGGGGCTTGCACGTGTGTGATTGAGTGTGCGTGTGTGTGTGTGTGTGTGTGTGTGTGTGTGTGTGTGTGTGTGTGTGTGTGTGTGTGTGTGTGTGTGTGTGTGTTTGTCTCACACCCGCGCACGCACACACAAGCTCACGACACACTCACTCACTCCACATCCACACTCACTCACTCTCTCGCACACATCTCCACCTCCTTCAACCAATTCCCCCCCCCCCCAACGCCCATCAGGACCTGTCACGGCTTGGGCGGAACGTGGACGAGACGATCATTGTGGACAATGCGCCTGCGTCGTACGCGTACCACCCGAACAACGCGGTGGCCATACAGACGTGGATCGACGACCCGACGGACACCGCGCTCAGAGACCTCATCCCCTTTTTCGAGGAGGTGGCTGAGGCCGACGATATTTACTCGCTCCTGCGCACCCTCACCTTCTAGTGGCTGGGGAGGAGAGGGGGATGTGGTAGCGTTGGGGTTGTTGCTGCAGCAACCTTTCGTGTGTGTGTGTGTGTCTGTCTGTGTCTGTCTGTGTGTGTGTGTCTGTCTGTTTCTTTGTTTGTGATGCCGTTCTTCCCTCGTCCCGCCCCCTCCCCACTTTGCACCGCGCCTCCCACTTTCATTCCAGCTCTCCCCTCTCTTCATGCTATATCTCATGGTTGGCTGCTGTGCTGCTTTGTGCATGCACGTGTGTATGTGTGTGTGTGCGTGGCTGCCTTTCATTCACTATGCCCACTGCCGAGTTACGTTGGCACGTGGTGCTCTGTTGCCTGTGTGTATTTGTAATCTCTTTGTTTCTCTTTCCTGTACACGTGTGCTGTTGACAACCGCTGTGCATACAAACACGCTTTGCTCTGTGTGTGCGTTTGTATGAACTTGTTTCTCTGCCCTTCCCCTTCCCCTCTCGTCTCTCTCCCTTTCAACCCCCCTCCCCCTTGCTTTTATCTGCTCGTTTCGCGTTGTTACCGAATCCAACGGCTGCTCCTGCTGCCGCAGTTTGTTGTTTAGCGTCGCTCGCATGTCATGGGTCGTTGCTTGCTCGCTCTCGTGCACGTGCACGTGCTATTTGATGAATTGAGTGAAGGAAGAAATCCAGTCAGCGAGTCATGGGGCGGGGGGGGGGTTTCTGGGAAGAGAGAAATGAAGAGAGAAATGAAGAGAGACGCAATCAGTGTTCACAAACAATATTCACGCACACGCACACGCACACGCGCACATCAAGTGTCACATCACGGTTCACGTGGGGTTGTTTAGTTGTTCCTTGGGGGGTTGAATACGCGCGCAAACAAAACCACTTACGAATGGCACTTACGACGACGACAACAAACAGAAGCAAAGCAAAGCAGGCAGGCAAGGAGCAGTCAGAAGCAATTGAAGAGGGAATGAAGGGAAAAACACCAACAACAAGGACAACAGAAACGCAAGCACAGCGCCATTCAGCGTTGCTTGCAAGCATGAGCATGCATATGCTTGATTAGATGAGAAAGAGGGACAGAGGAAGATCTTGGGCAGCACGCAAAACACACGAAACGCAAGTGATCACTAGGAGGACAGCAGCCCGTGCTGTATGCAAACAAAGACAACGACAAGAAAGGCGCGCTTTCGATAGGGGGACGCATTCAATTCAAAAACGAGAGCACGCAACGCACGACGCCTCGCATCACTATCGGTTTCACAATCGGATATCACAATGGATATCAGAATCGCTATCACACAAACACGCTAGCGGTGCCTGTGTCGCTGCCGTTGTTGCTGCTGGTTGTGCTGGCGGCGAGTGGCGGCAGACACACCCGCACCCTGCGCATCACCACCATCAGCACCAGTGCTGCCGACACCGCCCTGCTGCTGCTGCTGCTGCTGCTGCTGCTGCTGCATCATGCCCTCGCGGCGGCCGTTGGCCATAAACGTAATCTGCGAGCGGTACGTGTCCAGCGCGCGAATCTCAATGTTGTCTGGGAAGCGGCACTGCAGCTTGCGGAACTTGTCGCTGAGGCAGCGGTTCCACGACCACACAATCACCCGCCACCGCTTGGCCGCGGCCATGGCAGCAAGGTCCGGGTACTGGCTGCCGTCGCCGGTCGCCAGCACGAGCGTGTTGGGGCCGCGGCTGTTGCGGATGGCGGTGGCAATGCGGCTCGTCACAATCTGGTGCGCCGTCTGGCTGCGCGTGTCGTTGAACACGGCATAGTTGATCTTGCGCCAGGCGTTGCAGATCTGCGGATTGGAGGGCCGCGACGCCGCCACCTCCCGCGCTGCACACACGCACTTCTCCTCAATCAGATCCGAGAACACGCGCACGTTGAGGCGGATGGCGAGATCCATCGACCCGTTGGCCAGGCTCTGCGCACCAACGAAGATGTTGCCGTTGTCAATGAAGACATACCGCTGCTGCTGCTGCTGTTGCTGCTGTTGCACGGAACCTCCGCCACCTCCTGCTGCCGCCGCCACCGTTGGCGTGACCGGCGGCGGTGAAGCGTTGAGAGCGGCCTGACGCGGCTGCTGCTGCTGTTGGTGCTGTTTGGCCATCTGACGGCAAGACACTTGCTGCTGCTGCTGCTGCTGCTGTTGGTGTTGGCGTGTTTGCTGTGCAGCCTGGTGTCGTTGCTGCTGCTGTTGTTGCCTCATCGCTGCAACGTGCTGGTGCTGGCGGTCGACAATGGGGAGCGGCGGGGTGATCTCCGCATCGCTCGCGTCGCTGTCCGGGCTGCTCATCACGGTGAGGCCGGGGTGCATGGCAGTGGAAGGAGCGTCGATGTCGGGACCGCGCACCGCCTGCAGGTACGAGCGCGTTACGGCAACGGCAGCCGCAGCTGGTGGCGGGGGTGGCGGCGGCAGTGGTGGGGACGGCGAGTGGGCCGACATGGGCAGGGATGAGGTGGATGAGGCCTGGGACATCATCTCCAGCGCAGCCGCCGTCGTTGGTTGAAGAGCGGCCGCTGACGGCTGCTCCTGCTGGCTATGCAAGTGATGCTGATGTTGATGCTGGTGCTGATGTTGATGTTGATGTTGTTGATGTTGATGTTGTTGATGTTGGTGCTGGTGCAGGTTCTCCCACGACAGACGCATGTGATCAGCAGTGGTGGGGAGGGGCGCGGGCTCCTGCACGTCGTACGTCTGCGTTTGTGTGGATGTGGTGGTGGTGGTGGTTGATTTGCGTGCACTGGTGGCGGAGACGGCCGCGCTCAGGTCCGGCAGCTGCGCAAACGCATATGGCGACTCGTACTCGTACTCATCAAACACATCACCCGTGCTGCTCGTGCCGCTGTGGTGGTGATGGTGGTGGTGGGACGGCAGCGATGGTGCGGAGGCGTCGGTGAAGAAGCGTACGTCGTCAAAGGAGGGCTGGGACCAGGTCGTTGCCGTTGGCTGGGGCATGAACATCTGCTGGTGGTGCTCAGGGGCACGTGGCGCTGGTGCTGCTGGTGGTGCAGCTGGACGAGCGTACTGCTGCTCGCTGCTGGTTGCGTAGGCGGGCCGCTGTGCAGGCGCCAGCGCCCATGCCAGTGTGGCAGCGTGTGAGCCATGGTTGTGATGGTGCTGGTGCTGGTGTTGGTGATGGCTGTCATCGGCGTGGTGGTAGGCGGCGTAGCGCTGTGCGTCCTCGTGGCGGCTGTGCGCGTGGATGTGGTGCGCATGCTGGCGAATGTGCGGTGCAGGCATGCGCACGTGCTCGGTCGAGCGAATTGGCGCAGCAGAGTGGCCAGTCTCCATCCACGGATCAGCGGACACGGGCGTGAATGCCGAGGATGATGCGGTGGAGGACGCGTAAGGCCGAGCGTCGCCGCGAGGATGCTGCTGTTGGTGCTGCGGCTGCTGCTGTTGCTGCTGCTGGTAGTAGTGGTACTCTTCGCGTTGCCGTTGTGCATAGGCCAGCGTCGCAGTGCTGCGCGGCGGTGTTGCGTACGAGACGGGAATCGGCCGCTCCTGTCGCTGTGTGGGGTATGTGTTGTGGTAGCCGTGGTGCTGCTGACGTTGTTGCTGCTCGATGGCGTGGTGGCTGTCGTAGCGCGGCTGCGCATAGTGCTGTTGGTGGTAGAAGGAGGAGGAGGAGGAAGCGACTGAGGTGGCTGACGATGACACGGATGCGGACGAGGAGGGCGCTGGTGCGTGTGGTTCCCAACTTGGGCCGGCGTGGTGATCGGGTTCGTGGAAGGCGCGCGCACGCGCCGCCATCATCATCATCTGCTTGTCCTGCTCCCCTTGCTGCTGCTGCTGCTGTTGCATGAGGAGGGCTTGTTGCAAGGCAAACATGCCGGGAGGTGGCGGGGATGGCTGGGGAAAGTCGTCCTCCATGGTGGCCTCGTCGACGAGGCTGAGGGAGAGCGTCTCCAGCGCGGCGAAGATGGGGCTGTCGGGGGAAGTTGCTGTCGCGGCGCTCGGCTCCTCCATTGGCGGCATGGTCACCGACGCGGCCTGATGAGCCCGCTGCACGCCAACACCTCCTTCCATCTGGGAATAGAGGGGGAGGGGGGATGGTGATGCGTGCGTATGGGGTAGAGGGGGATGGGATTTGTGGACAGAGAAGGACGATGGAACAGCAGGTGTTTGTGTGGTGTGGGAGCGTGTCGATGTCTATGCCTTGTTTGTTTGTTGGTAGTTTGTCTACAGGTCGCAGGTTTGCTGGCGCGGTTGTGCCAGAGGAGAATGAAGACAGGTGGCTGCTGCTGGGTGGCGGCTTGGCTGCTGCTGGGTGGTGAGGCAGCGCACAAGCTGGGGTTATGGAGGTGATGGACAGACGTGGAGGGGAGGAAGGGTGCGGCAACAACAAAAGCAGCAGCGAGCGACCAGTGCAATCGCGGCACGGCGGATGCTTCGTCTCTTTCTTCACAGGTTGCTTGCAGTCATCACGGCTGACATTTCGCAACTTGGATTTGCCGATTATTATTGGGTGATTTCAATAAAACACGGGCTGTCCGCTTCCACCTTCGCAATGGCGCAGTGGCTTGCGGCGAACAAAGGCAACCACCCAGCGTGTGGGGAAATGTGGCATGGGGACAAGGGTGGCGCAGTGTCAGTGCTTGATGATGGGTGGAGATGATGGGGCGTAATGTAACAGTTGGGTGGCGCGATGCAACTGCCAGAGCGCCTGTAACACGGCGACGATGGGAGAACGCTCGATGGTCCAGAGGACGGTGTCCTGGAGATGATGGGTTGAGTAACGTGACGCAGGAAGGCTACCAACGACAGTGGAGATTGTAACGACAAAGGTGCCAGCGCACAGCACGTCTCCAAGTCACACCTCACGCCGCGACGACGGGAGAACGCTCGATGGTCCAGAGGACGGGGTTGTTGGTGTGGAAAGTGAGGGTGTCGGTGTCCGGTTGCACGAGGTTGCTGGTGGAGATGAGGGCGCCCCACTTGAGCTCCAGCTCCGCCGTTGGCTGCAGGTTCCAGACCAGACCCGTCGTCGTCGCGCGCACCGGCGCTGCAAAGGGCACAAGCCCGCACGCGCGCCCTTCCTCCCCAGGCTGAATGCGCAGCTCGGTTTCCCCGGCAGGCAGCACCTCCGTGAAGCACTCGTCCGACACAAACACGAGCCTCGTCCGATCAACATGCTGCAGCCCAATGTTGAGATGCTGCAGCGTGTGGTCCAGCCGTCCACCTAGTGCGCCCAGCACCACCACCGTGGGTCGTCCCTGCACATCTAAGGGAGAGGGGGAGGTATTTGGGGGGAACAGGTGGAGTGAGGGAGCAGAGGTGGAGTGAGGAGCAGAGGGGACAGCTCGAGTGCCTGTTTACACACACACACGCACATGCGACACACACACGACTCATACCGCTGGTGTCCATGTGGGCGAGGGCCTTTTGTAGATCGGTGGAGTCTTGGTCGTGGGGGAGACGAACGACCTCACAAGGCCGGCCTCGCTGCTGGCCAAGAGAGACAAAGTGCTCGATGGACGCCTCTTCTGCAGAGTCCATGTCGCCGATGATGACGTCCACGTCCGCCTCCGGAAAGGCCTCGCGCAGGCGGTTCGCGCCGCCGTCGCACGCAATCACAGTCTGCGCAGCAGCCAGGAACCGCGCCGTGTCCTCTGGCAACACGTGGTTCAACACAATGCACGCATCAATCACGGCATTCTGCTGCTGTTGTCGTTGTTGTTGTTGTTGTTGGGCGGCGTGGAGGCTGCGCGCCACAGAGTCCAACACAAGCATCTCTTGGTTGCTGTTGTCGACGTTCTCGTTTGCTGTCCTTTGTGTTGTGGTTGTGGAAGTTTATTGAAAGATGTTCATGAAATGGCAGACCGCACACGCAAAGCGAGCAGGACGAGCAAGGTGTGGTCTGAGGCGTGCACCTCCACCACCTGCTTCTTGCCTGATGGCGCAACCACCGTCTCGTGCCGCACCCCGCCCTGCGCGCTCGCCAGCGTGTGCGTCGCAAGTGATATCAGCCGCGGCACGTGGTGCTGTTGCGTCGTGGGGTGCGTGGTGGGGTGTGTGGTGGGGTGTGTGGTCGGTTCAGGAGCGTGCTGCTTGTCGTCCTTACCCCGCATGCTTCCACAAACAAACACCTGCAGTTGAGTGTGTGTGAGTGTGTGTGTGTGTGTGAGTGTGTCGTGGAGCACGAGAGACAACCGCACGCACAGAGCCATTTACACACCTCGTGGTTTGACGTGACAACTGCAGTAAAGTGCAAGCCGCACGCCACCATGACCAGTGACTTGTCATCCAGCCCGCTCATCGGCTGCAGCGCAGAATCGCCGCTGCTGGTGTTGGAAGTCTGCGTGTGTAAGAAGATGAGGGGGTGGGGTCATGAACGAGACATGAGCGTGAAGCTGAAGCAAGCACAGCTGTTGGTGTGCATCCTGGGTTACAGTCTGAACGTTTGCGTACATTGCGTCCAAGCTGTCCCCACGTAGCGTGTGTGTGGGGGGGGGGGCAAGAATGAGACATGAGTGTGAAGCTGAATCAGGCACAGCTGCTGGGCAGTCTGTGCATTTGCGTACATTGCGTCCAAGCTGTCCCCACGCGTTGTCGCCGCATGTCAGGCATGTGCAATCCCTGGTGATCATGGCGACGTGATGCGCCCCAATGCCCACATCGCTGTGCGCGTAAATGTGGCAGCAGAAGAGGTGAGGTGCAAGGGCACGGGTGAGACGAGGGTGGGAGAAAGGGTGTGGTTGGCGTGCAAATTGAACGCAGCAACACAGGCCGTACCGCAAGGCAAGAATGAACGCACATGATGTGGGAGGAGAGGGACGACCACGGTGTGAAGGTGTTGATGGTGGGAAACCGTGCGGGATCCACGCCAAGGCGGCCAGACCTGCACAGGCAAAACCGAGTGAGCACATAGGCGACACATGACCACACAAACACCATCACATCATGTGAGCAAGTAACTGTGAGTGTCTGACCTGTTTGCGCCGGCAATCCAGACTGCACCGCCACTGGTGACGACGGCCGTCGCATCGTGGCCGCAGCGCACGCGCGCATATGTGTCGCTGCTGTGCGGGCGGAGAGCAATGCGAGGCGTGGACGCGACCTGGGGGAAGTGCGGCGGGAAGGGGGGAGGGGGATGAAATGAGTGTGTGACGGGCGGATGAGGGAGCAATGGTAGCTGCGCAGGCAAGAACAACAAAGGCAACAAGCAGCATAGGCACAGTGCTCACCGCAGTGTCCGGTCCACAGCCGAGGGCGCCGAGTGTACTTGTTCCCCACGTGAACACGTGTGAGTCTGTGGTGATGACAGCGGTGTGTGTCGCCCCGCAACTAACCTGCACCGTGGCAAGTGTGAAAGGTGTTTGCGTCAGTCAAAGGGCAACATAGCACAGCAGCACAATGCGATAGCAACATCACGGGCAATGAGAGCACCACAAGAACAACGACAGCGGCTACGATGCACGCACGTCAACTGCTTCATATCCGAGGAGCGCGGGCACGAGCGTGGGCGTGGGAATGTCGGTGGTGTTGCCCTGTCCGAGCACCCCGCCGTCACCACGACCTGCACAAGAGGACGTGATGGGTAACAACAGGTGAAGAGATACGGTGAGCTTGGAGCAGGTGTTGATGATTCAAGCGAACGAGTGCCGCTGCGCAGTGTCCTCGTAAAACAACCACAGGTGCATGCAAAGCAGCAGCTGCGATGACGGCCGCACCAAACGTCAGGACGAGCCCCTTGTCTGTGATGAGCGCAGCAAAGCACCGACCACACGCCATCCGCCGCACGCGGTGCGATGACAGCCCGCGCACACGCCGGGGCACCCACGTGGGGCTGAATGCATGCATGAATGCGTGAATGTGTGTGTGTGTTGTTGTTGTTGTTGTTGTTGTTGGGAAGAGGGGGGAGAAGGAAGGGACATGTCATGCCGTGTTGCGTGAATATAGTGACAACCGCAACATCACAAGCACATTCCATGCACACACACAGGACTCACATTGTGGGTGCGACTGCGCTGCTGGTCGAGCCTGCTTTCGTGCCCTGTTCCTTCGGTCCACCCCTCGTTGCCGCTGCTGTTGCTGATGATGCTGATGACGAAGAAGATGGCGACGACGACGACAACATCATGTTTTGTTGGCGCCACAGGCGGATGGATCCACCGTCCGTCACCGCAAACACGCGGCCAACACCCACAGCACCCGTCACCACCTGTTAGGGGGAGGGGGGCAAAGCAAGGGGAGTTCAGGATGGGTGCGGGGAAACACAGCAGCAACAATGCATGACGCCGATACAGTGACATGGTGTTGCCGTCAGATCCACATCACATCACATCAAACACATCCACACCTTGAAGTCCTGCTCCACGGCGAGGTGGGTGGTGCTGCGGTCCTGCACGACCACAATCCGGCTCCACTCCCGCAACCGCGCCCGAGACACACGCGCACGTGACGGCAACGGCTGGTGGTGGTGGTGGTTGGTGGTGGTGATATGTGAGTGGAAGTGGGGGTGAATCTGCAACGCTGTGGAGAGGCCAAGTAGTGCACGAGTGCAATTCTCACCTCTTGTGTCGACCGTTTTCCTGCACGCGGGGATGGTGTCGTCCGCAGCGAACACATGTCCGTCTGGTGGATGCGTGTGTGAATGAGACTAGTGGTGGCATTTCAACAGTGGACGCCACAAAGACATGCGTGCAAGTGCACGCACCATGATGTCGATGAGGGCAGTCTGGACGACCGGTGCTGCCATGATGGCGGGAAGCGTTGGGCGGACACTCGCATCCACAGTCAACATCGAGTGCACGAGGGACTGCAGCTGGGCGCTAAAGGGGAAGGAAAGGGGAAAGGGGTGGTGGCGGTGATGATGACATGAACAGGATGACACTTGAAACAGTGTATGGAAAGAAAGAACAACAGAATTGTACACATGCACACACACATATACGTACATGCATTCACGCACGCATCCACATCGTGCCCTCACCTGTATGTGTCTGGCAATGGGGCGACGGCGCCCTCCATGATCTTCAGCACGAGAGCAGGAAGGTTTGGAGCGTCAAACGCGCGCTTCAGCGCCATGAGCTCATACAACACGCAGCCCAGCGCCCACACGTCGCTCTCCGGCCCGTACGCTTTGTTCTGGCAAGTGTGGGATGGAGGTAAACCTGGACATGTGAGGTAAAGCGGCAAAAGGGGGAGGTATTGGGCTGGTGTTGTGAGCAGGTGCAGAGTCACTGTAACGTTCTCATGCACGCATCAGCCGCACCTCCAGGAGCTCTGGGCTGATGTAGCACGGGGTGCCGACCACAGACTGTGCGTGACTCTTGCTGTCCAGCAACTTGGAGATGCCAAAGTCGCCAATCTTCACCACCTGTGTGTGTGTGTGTGAGAGAGAGAGGGAGGGAGAGACGGGGAAAGAGAGGGGTGTGTGTGCATGTGTGGGAGCAAAGTGGACGGTGGAAGGTGACACGCAAGCACAAGCACACAGAGATACACACACATGCACACACGCAGACATGCAATGCTTGCACAATGACCTGGCGGTTGCTGTGGAGGAAGATGTTTAGGGTCTTGAGGTCGCGATGCAGGACGTGTTGCTTGTGAACGTGGTCGAGGGCGATGAGGATTTGAACAAAGAGCCGCAGCACTGTGGATTCCGGCAGCGGCTCCTGGCGGTCCTGCAGGTAGTCAAACAGCGACCCGCTGTCCGCGTACTCCATCACAATCATGAGTGACCCGTCCTCGATAAAGTGGTCCAAGTACGACACAACATTCGGATGCTTCACCTTGTCCAGCACCTGCGAACACACACGTGCCGTGTGTGAGTGTGAAGGCACGGACACAAAACAACAGCTTGCGCGCACACACAGATACACAAACACACTCGCCTCGATTTCGTTGCATGCTGCCTGGCGCTCGTGCTTGTTGAGGGAGGAGAGGGCGACCTGCTTCACAATCACCAGCTCGCCGTCAGCCCACCGTCGGCACAGGCGCACCACCCTGTGGATTATGTGTGTGTGTGTGTGGGTGTTTGGGGAGGGGATGAAAGTGGTGCTTCAAGATAGCACCTCGCAGAGAACGAAAGGACAAGCACACACACCCACACTCACACATGCACTGCGGCTCACCCTGCTGTGCCGCGGCCAACAACGCGCAGGACCTCAAACTGGTCCATCGCTGTTGTTGTTGTCCTTCGTTGTGTCTTGCCGAAAAGCAGTTGAAGTTTTCCACCAATCGTCCCAACTTCAACCGGCAACAGCAACGACCGTGGCTGCTGCGACATGGTCGTGGCTGAGCACTGTGTGCGGCGACGCGCCCGTGCTGTCCTTGCACGACTGGCTGGACCAGAACCACAGCAGCTACGGAAGAAGAGACGACTCTTCCTCCACTTCCGCCACCTCGCCTGCGTCTCACCTGCTGCACAACCATCCAGCAGCACAGCCGCTCCTCACCTCCATCATGGTCGCGCCAATCCAAGGTGTGCATGTGTGTGACTGAGAGAGACTGTGTGAGTGCATGCCTCTGTGTATGTGTGTATCTGCCGTGACTTCCTGCTGTGCCGTTGTTGCGCGTTCAAGGCTTGCCACCACTCCACAACTCCTTCTCATCCATTCACTTTGGCTCTCCTGCGCAGATGCCCTGTCTTTGACCAAGCTGCGGCGCGCATGCCTTCGCTGTCTTCGCTTCCATACATCCTCCAGCGCGTTCTCATTGGTGCGTGTGTGTGTGTGTGTGTGTGCGTGAGTTTGTATGTGTGTGTGTGTGTCTTTGTGTGTGTGCGTGTGCGTGCGTGTGTTTGTGTGTGCGTGTGCGTTTGTGTGTGTATGTGCTTTTGTGTGTGCGTGTGTATTCGATTCACTTCCTCACACACGAGTCACACATGTGTACACATCCACCGCGCAGACCTGTTCGAGTCGTGCCAGTCGCCCACACATGTGCTGTGCCTTGGCTTTCGTCGCTCCACCGGCGGTGATGACAAAGGATCCATCAAGGCTGTTCTGGAAATACAGGTGTGTTCGTGTGCAAATCGCAAGTGTGTGTGTGTGTGTGTGTGTACGTGTGTGAACGTGCCTTGTGTGCATGTCTGGTGCGCGTCTCAACACGTGCATGCGCAAGATGTTTATGCACTGCTGACACTTTATTGCTCGCATACACACTTGTGCGTCAGGCCGTGTTTTCCAACACGCTCCATGCCACGATCAAGAGCAAGCCGTGGCGTGCCCTGCATGCCGCCCTCGGTGACTACACCATCTTCTACATCTTCCGCTACATGTTCGTGTTCCAGCGACTCCACAACAACTGCCTCTTGCAGGTCAGTGACGGTCTGCTTGCTGTTGACAGCTGTGGGCTCCATGAACAAAGTTGGGCCAGCGTGATTTCACGCGCTTCATCTCAATCTGCCAGCAGCAGCACTGCTACTACCGCTGCTTTACCTCACCATCCCTTCAACTGCACTGTCGTTCTCTCGTTCCGTTTCCACACCAGCTGTCTTGCCCGTCTCTCGGCCTCTCTGCGCGATCACAAATGCGAATCGAAGACCCAAACGAGCAGACGACGGCGACGACGCGTCCTCCCACCAGCAGCAGCAGCAGCGCGTTTGTGCAGGCAATGACGGCGATGACAACAGCGACAGCTGTGAGGGAGGAGGAGAACCTGCAAGCAAGAGAGCGAAGATGCAAGAGGTGCCACAACAACAACAACAACAACAACAACAACAACAACAACAACAACAACAACAACAACAACAACAACAACAACAACAACAACAACAACAACAACAACAACAACAACAACAACAACAACAACAACAACAACAACAGCAACGCAGAAGGCGACGACGGGGAAGATGTGGGCGGAGAAAGCAGCAACACCAAGGCAGCACTAATGGCAATGCTTCGACAACAGACACTAACATGCACATGCATGTGGCAGCATCAAGTGCAACAACAGCAACAACATCAGGGAAAGGCTTGTTGAACGCGCAACACCGCCACACGTTGATGATCCAGCGATCAAAGATGTTTTACGCATTCAACCTCTCCGAACGCATGCCGGCAGACCACCCATTGCTGAAGGTGCAAACGTCGTGTATGTGTGTGTGTTTGCATCTATACTCAGCGCGTGCTCACGATACGACTTACATAAGTCTTCTTGATACTGTTCGTTTTTCGACTTGCCTCGCACTATTTCTCGCTCAACTTGATGGCATGAAAATCGCGTGTATTCGGGACAGGATGGCAGTTGCGGCACAGGAACAGAAATCAAGAAGTATGTGTCGAGCGGCAACTTGGAAAAAAAGAATGTGAGAGAACTGTAAGGATTTGTCATTCTTCTGAGCTCCCTTCTTATTGGGGGGCTTCATTGTCGTCGCCGTCGCCATCATCATCATCGTCGTCGTTGTCGTCGTCGTCGTTGTTCACTGCTAACCGCTCCAGACCAATACCAAGTAAGTCAACGTCATCGTGAATGAGCCGATCACCCACATCGGCGCGGATGAGAGTCCTTTTCAACCATGCCCAAGCTTGAGGCCCTTGTCCACGTGTGACGTCTGCCGAAACAACTGTCACGCTCCCTGTCGCATTGTGAACTCTGGCATGGTTCCTCTGCCATGCCACACGTGTGTGGACCTGTGTGGATTGTATGGCATGAAAGCGTGAACGGCTGCAGTCGCGCAAATGGGGCCAAGTACAACATGCCGCAACACACAGGTCAACAGCGAAACACAAACACTCATTCATGAACACCAACTTATTCCAAAGCTTACTTCAATGACATGCCATCGCTCATGAGGCTCAGTGTAACGGATTACTGCGACCATTGTGCGCGAATAGCTGTTGTTTCTTGCTTGCTCCATAGAGAAGTGCGCAAACATCTCATCGAAGCGCGCGTAAATGGGCCGACCGTCAAACTGTGTTAACTCTGACCTGAATGCAACATCCTGTCTCATGGTTAGTAGGTTGTTCCGTCCCCCATCGTTATTAGGAAATGGACAGTTCAGACACGCATGGATGAAGAAATTGCGAACCGCAGCATGGCTGGTTCTCACAAAGTGAAACATACTGCGCCATTCCGAACGAGGGGGATCTGATGCGCTCACCAAACCCTCATTCGTCACGACGCATGATTGTACGTTTTCGGCACGGTTGCTTTTACGAAGTTGTTGAAGTGCTTCAAACACCACAAAGAACAGTACATCGGTTTGTGTCAGAACCCACAAAACTGGTGCCATCTTGACAATAAATGAGCGCTCACAAAACCCTTCACGAACCACATTGCACGAAGCCAGACGCAGCAACACTGCAATCACTGCTGCCGGACTTGCCGTCTTGGATGATATGGCACAATCAGTGACGCGGTTTCCCAATTGGAGCTGCTTTACCGATTACAGGAAAATCTCAGGTATTGCTTGGACTCCCACGGCGGACTTGCATCTCAGTCGTGACCATTCCAGGGGTCGCTGCTTCCCGTTCGAGCCAGTGAATTTTCTTTCGTCGCCGAATTTCATTGTTTCCGCCTCCCGTTCAAAGTGTGATGACCACGCAAACACTAAAGAAGCCAAAACACGCAGAACTGACAGGAACCCTGCATCAACGCTGTTCAGGAAAGTCTTTTCGGTTCATGAGGGGAAGTCATGCACGAAGGTAGAAGTTGTACGTCGCCTTGCCACAATTTCCCTGCTCCAAATGAACACAATAACAGAAAGGTGCTGTGGTTATGGGTGGGTCGCCCCCTCCCCTGATGTAAAGTGGTTTCTCTCTGCTGAGCTATGTGAAAGGGGCATCCCAACAAGCGTCGGCATTTATTGCATTGCATCTGACCTGAACAAGGACAGAAAATGGCCGACAAGGATCCCAAGGACAAAGATCAGCCCCCTATCCGCTGCTACAAATGCGGGATGTTAGGCCACAAGGCTAACGACGAGCTGTGTCCCGTGAACTCCAACAAGAAGTTCGTTGTGAAAAAGAACGCATTCTATGGCAACTGGAACTCGAAAACCACCCACTACAAAACGAAGAAGTGGTGATGGTGCTCCTGCATGTAAGCCTTCTCCTGTATCCTCTCCCAATCGCTTGGAGGTTTGTTTCCCACCTCTCAATGATTTTGATGCGCATTAAACATTGTTGGATGGTGAATAGTTGGCCACGAGATGACAAACTGAAATGCATGTGTGTGTGCGTGTGTGTTGTACTTGCTGCAAAAGGGGCGGAAACTTGAGTAGGGAGCTACTTTTGCACGGAGGGATGGCAGCAACAAGCAACCAAAAAACATGACTGCATTCTTCATGACTTTCCACCCATGGAAGCAACGGATCCTTGACATCGTGAAAATGCAGCTGTCGTAACTTCAAGGAGCGAGCACGCAGGAACGAAGGGCAGACAAAGAATTGGTACCTCAGCGTAGAGCACACTTGTGCATGACACTGCCATCTCTGTTTGTGTCCCTGCCCCATTGCCTTTCAAATGCTTGTACTTCCGGCAGTGTCTTCATCCAATCTTGTGATTTCTTTGCTTGGGGAGGCCGGATTTCTGGACTTGGGTGTAAAGACTGCGCAAACTGATCCGTGGTTTGGCCTCTTATTGTCTTGCGTTTGCAAATGAACACCTTCGTTCATAGCCCGAACACCATGTATTGCCCCGTTTGTTGTGTCACATCACCAAACACAACGTTTCCCCTTGGCTGCATCTTCACACGAGCCACTGTGTGTGTGTGTGTGTGTGTGTGTGTGTGTGTGTGTGTGTGTGTGTTGTGTGTGTGTGTGTGTGTGTGTGTGTGTGCGCGCGCGCGAGCGTTTGTGTGTCTTCCAATTTGACTGAGCGCTGATGTGATGTTGAAGAAGCAAATGTACGCCACTCACTGCATGAGGAAAAGACCACAATCGCAACATCCCTCGATGGGATGGTCAGGCTGGGACGAGAGTCAGATGAATATGCAGTCGGGATTCGTGTATTCAGTGAACGCAATGCAGACAAGAAGCAGCCTCTCTCATGGCAACGCAACAGGCAAGAAGAGCAAGAAGCAGAAGGAATGCTGCAAGTTACAATCAGCCATAGCTTGAACAATTTCCGTGAGAGAGTGCCTGAAACCCAAGGCTTAACTCAAAAGATAGCAGCCCATCAACCCCAAGAAGAAACAATGACATGAGCAAGAGTGAGTTTGTCCAAAGGGCGCGACGCTTCAGTGCACGCTGCAAATCCTGCATCGCGTCACTGGAGTGTTTGGGGTACATGCACTCGCTGCAACTCTTGAACATGCAAGAAATCCCAATGTACAACAGGCCAACGACCAACCGCAATGCAGCTAATGTTTGAATGATCCCTTTGGTTTGGCAGGAGCCGAGTGGACGCAATCTGCTCACCACAAGAGTGAACACAGCTGGCAAGATGATGACAAGGCCTGCGACACCCGTCAGAACCTGAAATGATTAAGCATGTCGGAGGCAAACAAAGAGGACACGGCTTGTGAGGATGATTCTCCGTAAACCCGTTCTCACAGCGCGCACGCTTTCCAAGTTCTGGCAACGGTGCTCGCATACCTTTTCGTTTCGAGGGGTGTCTGTGACTGCTTCGGTGACCAGGCGAAGCAGCCGTTTCTCTTCTTCGCTTTCGACACGCATCTCATTGACAGCTTCGCGTGCGGCTTGGGCTTGGCACGCATTGCGGTTGTGCAAACCCGCGATGGCTGCAGTAGTGTTCGACCCAGACATCCTGTCTTTCTCTGAGCTGAGGTGGATGTGGGTTGTGCTTGTGTCATTTCACACAAAAAAAAAAAGTCGTATGTCTCACCAGATTTGCACACAACAACATGCGACGGAAAAGTGTTCTCTCTTCTGCAGCCTTGCTTGCCAAATCCACTTGCATGTGCTCCCAAAAGTGGGGGATTATTGCAACTTTACCGCAGGCGCTCGCTAAATTCCCAATGTTTTTTTGCTTCTACCGTTTCGGAATTTGCATGTGTCAAGGCAGCGCAACGGCGGCGCAGCCGCCGGTTAGGGAAAACCCTGTGCGACAAATCTGGTTAGGGGAGCGCAGCGATGCCGGAGCGAGCGTAGCGGTTAGCGGGGGTAGGGCTTCACAGCATGCGATTTTAGGGTTAGTGGACACGCCTCGAGCTTTTGCGCGTGGTCACGAACCGGCAATGCTCACTTCACAACCGTAGTTTAGCAATGGTCACCGGTAATATTTTTTTAAAATCCCCCAAAAGTGTCATGGGTTTCCTTCTCTTGCAAAGCAAATCATCGCAGGGCAAGTGAAAGCGAGGAAGGAAAGTGTTTGTGCAGAAGGAAATAAAGCCAGCAAAACTGGGAATTCTTTCCTTCCCTGTGTATTGTTTGGGTTTTCTTGTGTGTTGTTGTGCTTTTTTCTTTTCTTCCACTTTCTCGCCCTTCACTGTCCTTTCTTCCGTGTCAACATGCCGCGACCTCCTCCTCCTCTCCCAACTGCTGCTGCTGCTGCTGCTGCTGCTGCTGCTGCTGCTGCTGCTGCTGCTGTTTGCCCTCATCATCGCTGGGCGCTGTTCTCGCAGTTGCCACTGTTGTTCTTGTTGTTCTTGGCAGGCTTGTCGGTGACCCATGTTGACGGCAGCGGCTGCTTGAAGGATGCTGTGAGTGAGTGTGTGTGTGTGTGTGTGTGTCTGTGTCTAGCTTCTTGCTTCTTGTTGTCCTTGTGCTTTGGTTCTTTGCCACAACGTGCCTTCTGCTCTGTTCACGGTTGCACCTGCAGCTGCCATTGACTCACACCTCCACACCACCACCTCTCCACCTCTCCACGTCCGTTTCACAACACCAATGACCGCACGCTGTCCCCCTCCGTGGACACAACATTGAAGCACCGTGAAACAACGCTCAAAGAGCATCGCGTGCCGTTCACCACTGGACAGTTGCATCCACGAAGCACTCCTTCCAGCATGAGTGATCTGTCATCGATCCAACGCATGATGAACGCCTTTGGCTGCAACAGCAACGGTGTTGAAGAGGGAAACCAGCACCCATCAACGGCAGCCCATCTCAACCACACACGGCATGCACTGCCGTCCTCACGAGCGCACAACCGCACCCCTCATACACACGCGTGCGACGCGCTGATAGCGACGAACAGCATGCTGGCCAGTGCACGTTGCAAAGCATCACTGATGGCTCGTGCGCTGGAGCCTTGGAGCTGACGTCAATCGTGTACTGTTCCTCACTGTTTCTCGCCACGAAGCACGTGGGTGAGGAATTGACGTTGGTGAGCACATGACGCGACAGAAGCGTTGAGACAACGACTGTGTGGGATCTGAAGCTGCAACTGCTGCGCGATGTTCTGATGTTGTGAGTGACCTGAGTGGCATCGCCTTTATCCACACCCTCGAACAGATGCACCGGTGTTTGTGTGTGTGTGTGTGTGTGTGTGTGTGTGTGTGTGTGTGTGTGTGTGTGTGTGTGTGTGTGTGTGTGTGTGTGTGTGTGTGTGTGTGTGTGTGTGTGTGTGTGTGTGTAGGCACGTGTTTGTTGCTAGGTTGCTCACCCCTTCATCTCCACCCACCCATCCACCATCCACTTTACAGGGACTTGAAGCGTGGCAACGTGCTGGTGTCATCATCGCTTCGCGCCAAGATTACGGACTTTGGGTCCATTTGCCAGTGCTTCACGCGTGACAGGAACCAGCACCAGCAGCACACACGCCTCTCCTCCACCTCAAGCCATGATCCCCTGTACAGCCAGCAGGCCGGACTGCAAACGATGCCGAACATGACACTGACGGCAGGGGTGGGCACGCCGCAGTACATGGCGCCAGAGGCACTGACGGGCTACAAGTACAGCTTCGAAGCTGATGCGTTCAGCTTTGGCGTACTGATGTGGGAGGTGGCGACACAGCGTGTGCCTGACTTGATTGAGCAGGAGAAGGGGAGCGGGTATCGGGGACCAATCCCCGCCACCATCAGCAATCTTTTGGAGGATGGGAAGCGGTTGCGATTTGATGATGATGAAGAAGATGGTGAGTTGGTCGTGTGTGTGTGTGCATGTGTGTGTGTGTGTGTGTGTTTGGATTGCTTGCTTGCACGTCGTTCTTCCTCACAACGCACACACATGCACACACACCCACTCACTCACACACACACACACACACACACAAACACACATACTTCCTGCAGTCATTCCTGAGTGGTTCCAGTCGCTGACATAGAAGTGCATGGCGCAGAACTCGCGTGAGCGGCCGTCGTTTGGAGAACTCAAGGACCACCACTTTGCTTGATTGTGCATGCGCACTCGCTTGCTCGTTTTGTGTACGAAGTTGTGAACGTGTCTTCAGCATGCATGTATTGTGGGGGTTGGAACGACGCAAAGTGCAAGCAATAAACCAACACCAACGCAAAGACAAACCAACACAACACCATCAACTTCAAGGCATGTCACGTTTCATTCGATGATGGTCGGCAACGTTGTTCTGCACGCGCTGTGTTGCATCTCCTTCTTCAGCGCATACAGCACACCCTCCCACAGCACGCTGCAGCCACAACTTGAAAAAAGCGTCGCACATCCATCCTCCTCTTCCTCCTGCGTCAGCCACGTAGCAGCTGGAACTCAATGTCTGCACCGTCCGACGTGAGCGCAATCAGCCGGTTCAGCACCATGGAGATGACACACAGGATGCGCAGCAGCCAGCACCACCACTGTAGCCACCATCAAAGGTATCCACAGCAGCATGTTGTTGAACACGAGCAGCAAGGCCGTTGGCCGACAGTGTGTTGTCGTTGAGCAGCAGCAACCGGAACGCCGTCCACCCAGCCAAATTGCTGATGCCGAGGACGAGCAGAGCAGGAAGTAGGACATGTCAAGGCAGATGGCCAGGATCATGCGCTGGCTGGAACGGCTGCAGGTGGTACAGCAGTGGAAAGGAACGTGTGTGCGTGCTGGAAAGAGTGCGTGCTGAGAAGAGTACGCACTTAGAAGAGTGCGTGCCACGCACCGCAAACACCAGCACCACATCTATTACTTCCAACCAGCCTTGACTGCCGTACCTCCTGCACCATGTCCACAACCAGCCAGCACACCCAGCACCAGCATGATCACCACCGACTTGTTTTCACCAACTCCCAGCAGCAGCTGGGCCACGTTCTTGCCACTGACGCGGTGATGATGAGGGCGACGGTGAGCATGTACCACGCCGCCTCCCACAGGAAACTGGCGCTCATGAGCAGCCAAACAGTTCCACATCGCCCGTCGACTGGACACATTCACAAAGCCAGCAGCACGCACCAGTGGCACCACGCACGCCCCAGCGTCCTCAACTTTGGCCAATTCACCAGACAACTTCAGCAGGTTGTGCCAAAACGCGCGGCTGCTCATCTCGCTGATGAATGTCCTGTCTGACTCAGTGAGACAATCATGCTCGCTGCTCGTGGTTGTACTGCTTGTCGGCGGTGGAGGTCGCAAGCGCAAGCTCGCTTGTGTACGTGCGCACAAGCAGGATGACGTCTGTCACGAAGGTGTGCGTCAGGGACGACGCGCGCAGTGACCAGGGCTTCCCTGCCAGGGCTTGTCATCGCTAGGGTTGAAGAAGGCTCTGGCGAACTCACACACCTTGTCCACGATGAACTGCTCTGTGCTGCAGTCGAGCCAGGACACGCTGGTGGTGCTGAAGATGGCGCGGAGTGAGGGCGCGTGGCGGGCCTTGTTGGCCGCAAACGACAACAGAGGCGGTGGCGTGTGTGTCTCGGCATCCTCCACGGCAGTGCTCACGGTGGCAGCGAACATGCACAGGGCTTGCTGCAGCTTAGCAACGCTGCTCAAGTCAATTGGACACGTGCGATGGGGGAGCTCGAGCGACGCCTCGGCGTGGTGGGTGACAAGGGCAACGGCGCCAGGCATCGTGTCTTGGGTCAATCTAGATGGCCAACAGGGCGGATTGTGACGGCCGTTGTGTTGACCTTGTTGAAGCTTGTGAGTACACCGTACGCAGCCGGCACCGCGAAGCTCGGCCACACGGGAGAACGTGCTTGGCGTCGTGTGTCCAAGTGGCTGACTCGAAGTTTGGGCTGGCCGGCGTTGTGCTGTGTGAGGGCTGCCATCCTCGCGTGCTCCACAGAACAATGACAACAGATGTCATGTTTCACTGCTCCAGGGCGTACGCGCTCAGGACACGCTCACCATTGCGGAGCTTGTGCACACCCCCGCTGTTGCCTCTGATCGATCGTGCTGACCACCAAACGAGGGGCGGCAGAGCGGCCACACGACAAGGGCTTGTCCAAGTCCCAAACAATTTGCGCCACCGTATCCGGCAGCGAGTACGAGTGCCCTGCTGCAAGGGGGCTGTGGATCAGGGACACGCGCAGCGAGAAGGAGGAGGAGGTCAGGCTGTACGCCGCCAAAACTGCCGGCCTTCTGACAAAAGCAGGTGCTGATCTCCGCTCGCAGACATGCTGATGGTGCCGATGAAGCCATCGCCCTCGCCAAAATGATGCCACAGGAGCACAAGAGAAGGTGACAAAGTGGTGGCTGTTGCGATGGATTGGATCTCCGAGACGTGGACGCTGGTGCTTTGGCGGATCGTGTGCACTCATCGTTGGGGTCGTTGGACAGGTGGCTATTTGCCAGTACCAGTCGATGGCTGCTTCCGCAAAGCCACGAAGCCACAAACGTCAGCGGAGTTGCTCAAGGAGGCAACGGCAGCGCACCCGTCACCGCGTTCACCACCTGCACACACCGGTTGCGTTGTAGACCACACGGCCCAGATGAACCTTGTAGTGGATGCGGTGCACGGCCGCACGCGACAGGTGCATGGCCAGAAACACCTCCAGCAAGCAGGTTGTCCTTGATCATCAGAACGACATCCGCTGACTCGATGTTGATGCCGTCGCCAACCATCGCCACCACCTCCCCCTTGCGCCTGCAGCTCCTGCACGCTGCTGCGAGCACGTTGTCGATGCCAACCTCTGTCTCCAATGGACCGCGCAGTGCCCTCCTTGTCGCCCGTGAGCATGGCCATGGTCAGGCCGTGCTGGTGCAGCAGGTGCACCGCCCTCTTCGCCTTTGGAGCTTGCACGTGTCAGCGAGACCCCACGTAATCCAGGCAGAAGCTTGCCGTCTGCCGAGCACGAAACAACCGTGTAGCCACGCGTCTCGTCATCTTCGTGCATCGTCTGCCGCGATTTGCCGCTGATGGCGTTGGATTGCCAATAACACAAAGGGCATGCCAATATCACAATGTGCATGCCAATGACAATATGCTTGCTGTCCATGGTTGCTGAGATGCTCCGACCAGAGAATGTCTTGAAGTCCGTTGCGGGAGACAGCGCCGACGTGCGCCACAATCGCCTGGCCCAGGGGCATGTTCGCTGTTTGCCTCTGCAGCCGCCACCAGCTTCACAGGGCGTCCTCCTCCGTCCACGTGTCATCACCAACGAGCACGCGCGCGAGTTTTGGCGATCCAACCGTCAGCGTGCGCGTCTTGTCAAACACGGCCTGTGAGGAGGGGGAGTTGAGTGGGTGTGTGAGAGAGTGTGTGTATGTGTGGGTGAGTAGGTGAGTGTGGGCATGGAGTTGTGAGTGAGTGAGTGTGTGAGTGTTCTCTAACCACGACTCGCAAGCACCAGCACGAAGCACCACACACACACACACACCGAACGTGGGCTCCAATGTGTCAGCGGCACCCGAGGTTAGCAGCGCAACCCACACACCGACAGCAACACGATGCCTGACACAAAGCGCCCCGCCAGCTTGTCTGGGAAAGAACACGGAGGGAAGCGAAAGGGGAGGGTGAGCGGGTATGTGTGAGAGTGGAAACGTCTGCAGAAACATTGACAGGCACGTGTGAAACGGTGGTAGCGTGTCGTATCCAGTACATTCGCCCATGCACACTGTTGCCCTTTGTTTGCCGCAATTGCTTTCCCCACCTCTGAGCGCTGGGAACAGTGTAAGATTTCAGCGAGTTTTCCCCAATAAACCAGTACATACACACCTGCTGGATGGGCGCCTTTGACAGCTGTGCATTCTCGGTGTCAACATGCGTGGCCTCAAAACGATGCACCATGGTGCCGCTCAGATGACAATGTCATCAACGCCTTTGGAGACGAGACGAGTGTTGATTCGCCCCGTGATCATGGCCTCGTCCATTTCACCTGCACCTCCCAGCACGCGTCCATCAAATCCACAGGCACTTTGTCGCCAGCCACCATCTGCAACCAAGAGCGTGAGGGAAGATGAACGAGATGCAATGACAGTGCATTGTCGGGCGGCTGCTACAACCGCACCTGAGGGTTGTAACAACTGCCACATTGCTGCTGCTGCAGGTATAACCAACCACCCGCCATCACCCGCCACCACATGTAAGCACCACCACCAACTCCAACTCCCAAACCCCTCATCACGCACCTTCATGTTGTCGCCGCGCTGCACGAGCTCCGTGTCAATTCGCTCCTCCACGCGGTTGCCTTGACTATATCTTCCTTCGGCAGGCTGGAGGTGCTGCCTTTGGCGAGGTGTTCGATGTACCGCCCGAGCGACACAAAGGTGAAGAGGGAGAATGCCGGTCTCAAAGAAGAGGTCGCCACCACCACCACCACAAGTCAAAGTACTCGTGGGAGGTGGCTGCAACAATGAGAACCACCAGGAAGTACAGGTACGCAGGTATGTGGTGGATTTCAAACAACGCAAGCGCAAGTGCATGTGGATCAGCGACATGCGTGCACGCATGCAAACGTGAGCAAAGAAGGCACGTGTAACGCTCTCTCATTTACTGCAGGGGTGGACTTGAAGAGAACACGCGGAAGTGGTCGCAACAAACCACACACACACACACACACACACACACACACACACACACACACACACACACACACACACACACACTCACCACATTCATGTTGGCAATGCCGTACATGGTGGACTGCGCCACGGAGACGAGAAAACGGCCAACCGGGAAATGAAGGCGACCACGCCAAGCAGCATGAGGATGGGGTTATGCGTCGCGACATGCCGTCAATCATGCGCGCATCCCAGAAGTCCGGCCACACACGGCCATGATGATGGACGCGACGAAGAAACACGGTGGTGCACACGATGAAGGTGATGGGGCAGAAGCGGATCTCGCTCCTGTGGGTGGTGGCGATTCGTGATCCAGCTCTGCTGCATATTCTGTGATCCTTCAGCGAGCGCTGCTGTCACAAATGGGTGTTGTGTGAAGCGCATAACACAGAGCATTCTTGTGAGCAAGTGGTGGTGGGTGGCAAGAAGGCGTGGTAGCAAGGGCAGACACAGAGTCAGTTGGAGGGATTCGGTTGGAGGAGGGAGTGGAGAAGCAACGAGACGAAGCGACACGTACAAGTGCAAACACACACACACGCACGCACGCACGTGTGACCATTTCCCGTAGGTCTCGTGTTTCACTTCCACAAGGCCCGACGCACCATCAATCTGCACCATTTGAACACCAGGCAGAGCCCTCAGCATCGCCTGTCATGCATGTCCAACAACAACAGCAGCAGCAGCAGCAGGAGGGTGAGAGGTTGAAGTGGCGGCACGCATGCGTGCATGCAAGCAACCACGCGTGCATGCAAGCAAAAGAGACAAGCAGAGATGCAGTGCCGCGCACATCGCATACCTTATGCTGAGGTACGTCATGCCTTTTGCTGGTGTATGCGTTTCCTCGCGGGCCTTTGTATCCTACCTTGCCGATGCTGGCGATGATGGGTGCAGGGCTTCACCGTCGCGGTGCCAGCGAGCAGGCCCACACGACACATTGCTGCGCACGCCGGGCATGCGCTCTCAATGTTGGGCACGCACGAGGCGCACGACATGCCTGTAGTGCAGCGCAGTGGTAGATGCAGTGTGTACCAGCGAGAATTTTGTGTGGAAGTAAGGAGGTGTCGAAGTGAGGATGTACACACACACACACATAGAGTGCACGCACCTGCTACTCGGTGTCGGTGTTGTCAGAGGCGTGAGGAGCTGCTGTTGTGCTGGGGTGGGGCGATGGTTTCCGAAGAGTGTCGGCAACAGCGTGTTGGCGCTTGCCGGAAGGCGCCGATTCCCCCTTCTCAGGTGTGCTCGTAGCTGAAGTGGGTTCGTGGGTACCTCATCAACAGCCTGCTCCTACTCACGCTGCTGTGGCGGTGAGGCGATTTCAACGGAGTACCCGCCCGTCGCGTACAATGTCTGGCAGCTCATCGGGTGACACCTCCGCAAGATGTTCGACAGCAACCGCCTTGTGTTCGATCATGAGTGTGGTCTTGATCACCGTTGGCCCGACACACTGCTGTCGCATACGATGGCCGCATTGCCCTGGGCACACGAGCCACATGTCGTTGAGGAGGCTGCCATGGTTGTTGTTGTGGTCGTGGAGCCAAGTGGCCACATGCAGCAGCAGACGGGTTCACGTTGTTCTCCTGTTCGTCCATCCACGGTCTGGCAAGGACAGCTGGCCCACACTCAACATCGCGCATATTTTCACCTGTCCTGGTGAAGGAGAAGCGCCATGTTGGTGGGGAGGAGGAGGCGCTGTGCGCATGCATGCTGGTGCCAACCAGACGGAGGGAGGAAGGGCACACTTCTGATGGTATCGGCAGCAGTGGCTGGGGAGTGTCTTGGACAGAGAGGGACAGCTCCATCACGTGCGTGCATCAGGTGCACCTGTGTGCGTCCTTGTCTGCATGGACACTATGTTCACAGAGGCACGAGGGAGCGGATCGAAGGCGGGGGTGGGGGGACGAGAACGACACGATGTCAGACACGATGCCAGACGCGAGAGGAGGTGAGGTGCTCCAGCACAAGCTGGGGGTGATGGAAGAGAGGCAGATTGGTGTGAGCACGTGTCATATGAAGCAGTGTGTGGAGTATGTGTGCGTATGTGTTTACGTGTGTTGCGCAGCCAAGGTTGAGCAATGGAATGCAATGCAATGCAATGCAACGGAATGACCTCGCACACACACCTTTGCATGAACAGGTCATCTTCGGTCACAACTGCCTGTCTCCTTGACATGTGTTCAATTCACACCCTTCTTCTGCACTTCGTGATGCAGCTGTGGTGGGGGTGCAACACAGCAAGACACCGACATCGCGTGCCGTGTGTGCTCTGTCCTTGTTGGTCCAGTCATGAGCTGATGAAGGCAAGGCTGATGGATGGAAGGCTGAGGGATGGATGGAAGGCTGTCTCAAGGGATGGATGCGTTTCAACGTGCTTCCTTTCCACAACAACAACACACACAACAGTGAACTTGCTTGTGTGTGGCTGGAAATCCAATGCACGATTCCCAACAATCGTCCACAACCACAACAACCAGCCAAAACGCCACAAACAAACAACAGCAACCAACCAATCCTGTCTTCCTTCTCTTGGTGCTGCGCCTGTCCTGCAAACAGACACCACGAACGAGGAAGGAGGAAGGAGGCACCCTGAACTTCTGACTTCTCCTTCTCCTCTTCTCTCCTTGTCCTCTTCTTCTCTGCTTGTATGGTGAGGAGGATGGGGTGCCTGCAGGCACGTGGGGTGTTGCTGCTACCCGTGCTGGTGGTGGTGGCGGTTGCAGTGTGCTGGATGCCGCTCATCAGCAGCGTTGTTGGAGAAGTGACGATGGTGGAGGATGATGCGGGCGCGCTTCACATCAACACTAGCGATCCAATGAGGCAGCCCGTGTTTGTGAACGGCGTGAACGTGCACGAGACGCTCAGCATGTTGATGAGCACTGTGTCGGCGCAGCAGAACACGATCAATGCACAGAAGAACACCAACGCTCTGCAGCGTCATCGGCTTTGTTCATTGGTGAATCCAAGCGCCAGCACGTTTGGCCAGCTCGGATCAATGAGCGCAAAGTGGCTTGGGGGTGTACTGGCCAACAACGGCCTGATCTACGCTGCGCCTTGGTACTCGCCTTCCGTGCTTATCATCGACCCCAGCACGAACACCGTCGACACGACCACCATGTCCAAACTCGGAACTGACATACGCAAGTGGGCGGGTGCTACACTGGCACACAACGGCCGAATCTACATGTTCCCTTCAGACAGGGAGACGATGCTGATCGTCAACCCAGACACCAATGAGGTTGACACATCAAGCGTTCACTCGCTTGGTACCGGCACCTTCAAGTGGTTAAGTGGCATTGTGGCCAGCAACGGCCTCATCTTCGGCATCCCGTACTTTGCCACGTCTGTACTGATCATTGATCCACTGACCAACACAGCAGACAACACCACACTGTCTGGGCTGTCAAGCCAGGGACTCAAGTGGTACGGTGGCGTGCAGGCAGGCAACGGCCTTATCTACTGCATTCCCAGATCAACTTCTTCTGTTCTCATAGTGAATCCAGAGTTCTTGGCAATGGACCTCACCACCATCAGTGGCTTGTGCTCAAGCCACAAGTGGTATGGTGGCGTGCTTGCAGAGAACGGGCTCATCTACACCATCCCAGCGTTCTCTGCCACGGCACTTGTCATTGACCCGGCCACCAACGCCACCGACGAGCTCCTTGTTGTAGATGCAACGGGCTCTGCCAAGTGGGCGGGCGGTGTGCTTGCACGTAATGGCATAATTGTCGGTATTCCATTCAGCTCTGCTTCAGTCCTCTTCGTTGATCCAACCACTAATGCCACCGACATGACAACCATCAACGACCTCGCTGGATTCTACAAGTGGTTTGATGGTGTGCTCGCTCCAAACGGCCTCGTCTACAGCATTCCACACAATGCCGAGTCCGTGCTTGTCATTGACCCTGGATGCTGATGTGCTCGATGCGTGCACATGTCTGTGCATGTGCGTTTGCGCTTGTGTGAGGGTGTGCGTCCTTTCTGCATCTTTCTCCTTCTTCCACCCCTGTGACTGCATCCTGTGCACCTGACGCTGCTCATCGTTCTTTTACTTCCAATTGAAACGACCCCACTCAACCGAGAACATGCATTGCGATGGCGGGAGAAGCTGTTCCAAGACTGTGGAACACGTAGTGTTCATGCTGGTGTAGAGGCAACAATTTCAGGACAACAAGGCAATCACAGTTCTTCGAATCATCAGCACGCAAGCCAATGAACTTCCATCCACGTTACATCAACATTGGGGGTTCAACACGGGTTCAACCGCATATTTACACCCCCACCCTCTCTTCCACTCACGCACTCTACTTTCATTGTTCGCTCACACAGGTGTATCAGTTTAGTTCACAACAACTGCCACGGTTAAGCTTGTCAGCAACGCGCACTCTCAACCAAGAACAAATGCGCCGAGTGCGAGCATGTATTCACTCACACAAGACACGACAAAGAAGAACAGGTAAGATGGTTCAAAGATCGAACACACACACACACACACACACACACACACACACACACACACACACACACACACACACACACACACACACACACACACACACACACACCAAACGTGAGCTTGGTTGGCTGCCAGGACTGTGTGACATGACAAACGACGTTGTGCAGTCTTGCACAACAACACCACCAAAGAAGCAGACAAAACTTGAAAGGGGAGAACAAATGCAAAACAGGCCAACACCACCCACTTCAAACAACACCTGCTACGAAACAACCACTCCGCAACCGTCGATACCGCAAGACAACCAAACTGGCGTACCAAACCAACCCAACTGTCACTAGCCTAGCTTAGTCCTTCAAGAAGGCACCAGCAGCGACTGACTATAGCCAAGCCTGAGACAGATAAGTTAGCTGGCATTGCCAAGAATGTTCAGGTTGTGGTTGTTCTGGTTGTTGTTGGGGCTGTTGTTGTCTTGAGGGCTACCTCTGATTCCGTTCACCCCGTAGCCGTTGTTCTCAGCGACGGCATCATCACCAGAAACATCGCTGTGGGATGATGGAGGTCGTTGTAATTGTTCGCCACCATCACGTGGCAGACCATCATCACCATCAGCATCACCACGACCATCCTCACTCCCAGCCGTGAGTCGCATGCCCCTCGCTCCAGCATCTTCCACGTCCGCAGTAGCATCATCTCCACGGTCATCATCACTCTCCCCTTCCCCGACAACTGGCGCGACTACTTCTTCTTCCACATCCTCTGATTCGTCCCCGTCCACTTCCACCTCCACATCAACAGCATCATCGTCAAAGTAGATGATGTACTCCAGGTAGCACATGCCGTTGTCGTAGATGACAAACATCTCTGTATCGCCGTCGATAGCGCGAACGAAATCGTATAACACGCTCCCAGCAGAAGCAGTTGTGCATCCACCAGCACCCTCAGCACCACCCGAGGTGCCTTCACTCTCTTCACCAGCGGCAACTCGGCCACTTCCTTCTCCCTCGTCAGCACCATGGCGAGCAGGAGCAGCAGCAACAGCAGTTGCAGTGACACCATGATCAGCAGAACCAACAGCAACGTCATTCGGCTGGGGCGTCGACACATCGACATACACGCGCCGCTCGCTGGTGGTGTCGTGCTTGTCTGTTGCGCTGCCCTCGTGGTGGCCACACTTGACAGCAAACGACGGGTCGCCGCTGAAATACAAGCCCGAGCCAAAGTAGCCCTCCACGCTGGCGTAGTTGATGGTCAGACCAAGCTCCCTCCTGCAGATGCCGTGCAGCAGGCGGTGCTCAAACACGTTGCAGTCATCGTCGCCAGAGAGCGGCGCAATGACGTTGGACAGGTTTTTTTTTTTGGTGGCGCGGGCCGCCAGTACACCCGGTGCACGCTCTCCAAGTGCCGCTTGAACAGTGGCACGTTCTGCACACGCTGCACGCGCAGGTTTCGGGGGCGAAGCGGCTCCAACAGCGCGCGCACGCGGTCCACCTCTTTGGTCACGTCAACAAGCAGCTGGCCCTTGCGCATGTCCCAGCGGTCCGGAATCTCAAAGAGGGCCTGTGGCTCCAACTTCGACCGCTGCTCGTCCAACCACCCGCCGCACGCGCTCAATCTCAGGTGCAGGTCGTTCTTATGCATGCCCACGTGCTCTACTCACGTACACCCAGTGGTCCTGGAAGTCCACCGTGAAGTAGCGGTCAACCACTGGATCTTGAAGAAGCGCGCCGACTTCCACGCCTTGCGGTTCTTGTACTCCAGCCACCGCTGCAGGACACCGGGATTAACCGTCCGGCGCATGTTGCGCTCGCCCTCCACAGCCGCGGCTGCACGGGCATCGGCCACCACGCGGGCGGCGTCTTCCTCACTCATCTTGTAGTGCTCCTTGTGCAGATACTTGTCGGGGAAGCGCCCGCACGGCTTTGTCATCTCCTTGAGCATCTCGCGCGCATGCTCCAAAGCAACCCCGCCAACAGCAACACCCTTGTGCTTGCCGACGCTGCCGCCCTGCTCATCACCATCACCACCATTGCCAACAACAACAACATCATCATCATCATCATCATCATCATCATCATCATCACCATCACCATCATCACCATTACCAACATCATCATCATCATCATCATCATCATCATCATCACCATTGCCAACAACAACATCTTCATCATCAGCATTGCTGCGCTTGTGCTTGGCAGCGATGATGGCAGCCCGGTACTTGTTGAAGGCGTTCTCAATCAGGAGCGTCGCGTCGTGCGTAAACCCGTTCCACGCGGCCTTGTTGTCCAGCTCCGCCTTGGAGGGCGGCTCCGTGTACGTTGGCCCCGTATACAGCCACGTGTGGATGGGGTCAGCTGGCGTCTCGTCGGCCGGCGCATCCAGTGCGCTGCGCTGCAGGTCCTCATACAGCCCACTGCCCACCTTCTCGCCATAGTACTTCTCAAACGTCTGCTTAAACGCCAACAGCGTGCTCACGTCCTTGGTGATGATGGTCACGCGGATCGTGTCGAAGAACGTACCGTCGCGGCCCACCTCGTCAATCACCTCAAGCAGCGGAAGGCGCCGCACCCGAGCGCGCATGTGGCCAGCGAGCGAATGTTGTTGTCCCGCGCCGTCGTCGGCAGCGCGCGGTACGCCGTCTTCAGGTCCGCAGCCGTCTGCGTCACCGTGTTGCCAAACTCGGGCGCAAAGTTTGGCGCAACCACATGCAGCACGTGCTCAATGTTGGACAAGAGGGCCAGCGCACCGGACGTGGTCACGCGCGCCTCGTTGTACCGCAGGGGCCCGCTCCTCTCGGCGTTCATGTCGCGGGCGTTGTTGATGCTTCCATCGCGAATCTCCGCATGCAGCTGCACAGCGGGCAACGTCTCGCTGGTGGTGTGTTACTGGTACGGCTCTACCTCCCACACGGCCTGCTTCACCTTGGCCGGGAACAGCCTCTTGCACGTGGTCAGCAGCACCTCCGACGCCGCCGCCACTTCCTTGCGCGGACCTCCAAGCGCTGCGTGGGCACTGAGGTCGACAGGCTGTCACCCCGGCCAGAGTCGTACGTGCCCTGCGCTCGCTGTTGTGATACCCCTCCTGCGTGTGCTGTCCGCTCACTCGAGCCAACGCCATCGTCGCCAGCAGCGGCAGAAGCAGAAGAAGCAGTGCCAGCAGAAGTGGCAGAAGCAGCGCCCGTGCTTGCGGTATAACCGCCTTCAGCACCAATGCCTTCTTGCGCAGCCGCTTCAGCTCGCTGTCCAGCAACCAGCTCCTTGGTCACGGACATGGGCGCCTGGCACACGTAGCGCGTGGGCCGGATGTGGGCAATGGTGTGGAACGTCGACTCCGTCGTCGGGATGACCATCTGCATCACATCGCGCCGGCCAGCCACCATCCATCCACACATTGCGCTCAGTGGGCGCGCCAATCACGTCCTGTGGCGCAACGTAGCGCACCACGCCGTCCTTGCTTGCGGCACAGCGTGCGGCTGGCCTTGGTCAGGTAGTTGAACAGCTTGCGCTTCAGGAAGGTGACGTCCGCCTCGGACATCTCCGGCACGTGCGACGTGTCAATGACCGGCAGCCCGAGCACGTGGTGCAGGTACTCCTTGAGCGTGTCCTGCACCGCGTTGTCAAACGCCGTCAGCTGCCGCTGCATGCCCTCCACGGTCACGGGCACGCTCGAGACGCACGCTTGAGGCGCATGCGTCCCTGTCCTCCGCGCTGGGCTTGCGCACATACACGCGGAACTTGCGGGCCAGCTCCAGCAGCTGCGAGTCCAGGAAGCGGCACTGTATGCCCGTGACGCTGATCGTCGTCTGCGACTTGATGTGAGCGCCGACGGTGCTGTTGATGTAGCCGAGCCCGCGCTCCCTGTCCTGGTCCAGGTAGTAAGGAGTACAGCGAGTACTCCAGCAGCATGGCGCCGTCCAGGTCGCGCGTGTGTATAAGCGCCTGCTGGGGTGCCACGGGGGATGCGATGGGTGGGGTGCTGGTGACGGGCGGCGGTCGCACATACTCCACATCCCGCATGGCCCCGTGCACCGTGCTGGCGTAGGGCAGCAGGCCAAGCGTCGGGAAGCGCACGAGCTTGAAGCCGTAGTCGTTGAGGACGTGCTCCATGATCTTGTCGTCGCCCAGCACGCGGTCGCTGCGGGCAAACGGGTGGAAGGCGGGCGCGAGGAAGCTTGCAAGCAGCATGGCCTGTGACCACACCAGCACGGCGGTGCTGCCCGTGAAGCAGTTGCGGTTATTTGTGGTTGCAGCCGCCAGCACGTCGAGGTCTTTGGCCACGCTGCGCTTGTTGAATGCGTCGACGAGGTCCGACAGGAGGCCGCCCAGCTTGGGGTCGAGCACCACCACGTGCACGTCGTTCGGGTAGCACAGCCGCGCCACAAACTTGTGCGAGACAGAGGTGGCAAACTGCATCATGCAGACACACGCATGCGCCGCACGCGTGTCTGTTGTCTCCAGCACAAACATGCGCTGCAGCGTGGTCTCAGGGGACGTGACGCTGCTTTTGCTACTGTCGCTGCCAGCATCACCGTCTTTCTTGTACTGATGAGGGTCGTGCACAGCATTTGGCATCGCAACAGCATCGTGTGCCTCACTGCCACCTCCACCCTGCTGCTGCTCTTCTCTTTGTTCTTGTTCTGGTTCAGCCAAGCGCGTGTTGGCAAACGGCTGGATGTGGGACAGCGTGTCCTTGAGGGACTGCGGGATGGGCACAAGCTTCGCCGTGCTGCCAAAGTTCGTCTCAAACGCCTGCACAATGTCGCGGCCCGTGGTGGGCTTGCTGTGCGGGGTGCACGTGACAACAATGCGGTGCAGCGGTGCCTGGCGCGCCTCCAGACGACAAGCCCCGCCGCTGTGTCAATGGGCAGAGGCAGCAGGCTCCGGAACGCCTCCTCGCTGTCGGCAACCACGTCCACGCTTGCACAGCGCAGGTCCGGGAAGACCTGCAGCGACTGGAAGTTGACGCCAGCGCGCTCCAGCGTCGCCTGCACGCTGCGTACATGTCAGTTGGCCAGGGCATGGCGGCAGTCAGGCCCTTGCCGTCACGCTGCGTTGCTGCCTCGGTCAGGTAGAACGTGATGCGCTTTGCCTGGCCCGCAACAGGCGCTGGCGTGATGGATGTTGGCGAGGCAGGGGAGGAGGACGTGGAGTCCTTGCCCTTTGCTCTTCCAGTTTTTGGCCTTTGGGTCTGGGAACACGTTGAGCTTCGTGTCCAGCACCTCTCGCTGGTCGTACAGGCGGACCATCAGCTCCGCGCTCTCCCGTGACACAAACCTGTTGTGAGGGGAAGGGGTTGGTTGTTTGGTTGGTTGAGGACGTGGTTGAAGGACGGGCACGCGTGCTCAAGCAGAATTGAGTTGACGGAGCATCTGTGCATGCGCGCGCACACACACACACACACACACATGCACAAATGCACACATCGCCTACCTGAATGTGCCTCTGAAACGGTTACCGTCCGGCTTGTACGTGTGCGAGTGGAAGCCGCCGTTTGCCTTGGCGAGCGAGGGCAGCACCTCCTCAAGACCTTCGGACACGGGCTCGACCCACACGGACCACAGCTCGTCCGCCGTCCAGGAGGGGCAGTCCGGGTCGCGGCGGGCCGTCAGCTGCACCTGCCCAATCGGGAAGTTAGTCATCTCCCTCAGGACGCGCTCGCCAACGTCACGCGTCGCACAACTGCACGTTTGGGGTGTTGGGGTGTGTGCGTTTGAGTGAGTTGAGGGTGTATCGGTGCGGGATGTTGAGAGGAACTGCACAATCATGATGAGTACTTGACTGCCGCATCCTCGCATCATTACCCGCCACCACATGTCGTCATTTCCATCATGATCCTCGCATGCAACGAATACCTCCCCAACCGGTTACAAACCCACAACATTACCACGTTACTATCATCCCACCCATCACCACGACCACCTCCAACCAGTCAGTAGCAGCTCACCTGACGCGGGCAACCTGCCCCTGATGTTCGTCCAGTGGCGTGATGCTGATGACGCCCTGCTGCTTGCCAAGGAGCGCGCGCACCAGCTCAAGCATGCCCGTGTGGTGCACAAGCACGTCAAACGGCCCAAGTGCTGCCTCATCATCCTCACCATGTGCCGGTGGTGGTGCTGCTGTTGTGTATGGCTCCGGTTCGTGGCCCACTGCCGGCTGCCGGGTGAATGGGTCGTACCGCTGCGCATGGTCGTGGGTGCTGATGGGTGACGAGGGGGTGAGGAGTGTTGAGAAGGAGAACAGTCGTGCCTTTGGGACTTTACACCCGCCACTGGTGCCCGCTTTCCAAGAGGAAGCATGAGCTTCTCTCAATCCTCTCTCTCCCATTCCCAAACAACGCACGCAAGCGCATGTGCACCTGTATCGGGGCCAAAAAGTCGTTGAGCGGGTCCTTCGTGGTGATGCGCGCCTTGATGCTGAATCCGCAGGGTGGGATTGTGTCCTGCTCGAGCTCAATCATCTTGCAGCGTCGCGCCGCCAGCAAACTTCAGCTGCGATTGCACAACGTCAACGCCAGTAGTCACTTGGTGAGAAGAATAAAGGAGGGAGAGAGGGAGGAGATGATGGAGGAAGTGTCAGTGAGGTGGGGAGGAATGAAGCAGACCAGCACGCCACAACTGTCAAAGCGGGCAAAGCACCATCAACAGTGCTGCTTCAACATACCATCACAGCTCACCATCTCCGCGACTTGGATGCGCGGGTTCACCTCCATGAAGTTATGACTGCATCACATTATTGCGCACGTTGGGTGATCGGCATGAGCGTTGGGGCAGGTGCGATTGTGGTTGTCAACACCAAACGAGTGCATGCACGCACCACAACACAACACAACAGCTACATCTCCACCCCCAACACCACAACACCACACCGGCTCACCGGCCATCGGGTGTGTCCACGAGGAACTCGACGGTGCCGGCGTTGCAGTGGTTGAGGGAGTGGCCAATCGCAACAGCATTCTGAGGGCAGGAGAGGGGGTGGGAGGAACGGAATGGAAGGGAAGCAGCAGACGTGAGAGGGAGGAGAGGAACACGAGTCAGATCACAGGTGAGGTGCGTTTGTTGCGACCGCAACACAAGCGCATGCGCACACGCACATACACATGAGGCAAACCTGGCAGGGCTGTTGGCGGACATCGGAGGGCAGGCGCGGGGCAGGGGCAATCTCAACCACCCTGAAAACACAAATGGGATGTGCGTGCATGGGCATGAGGTGAGGGCGGATGTAGGTGATGATGAGTGTTGTAGATCACAGCAGAGGCATATTTCTCAACCACACACACGCACACACACACAATTACCTTTTGCTCCTTGGCGATGCGGACAACGTCGTTGAAAGTGAGGTAGGCGGCAACGGTGGCTTTTGTTGGGGGTCAACATGTACGATTCATCAGCCTTGCAACGCTGCACGGATCTGTGACGAGGAAGGAAGCGTTGCAGGCAAGTGAGTGAGTGAGTGTGTGTGTGTGTGTGTGGAGGGGAGATGGGAAGGGACGCAGGATCGAGCATGGGGAGAGAACGATCAAAAGACAGGCAGTCACAGACACACACACACACAGACACACACACAGACACACACACACAGACACACACACACAGACACACACTCACACGCACGCACCTTTGCATGAACAGGTCATCTTCGGTCACAACTGCCTGTCTCCTTGACATGTGTTCATTTCACGCCCTTCTTTTGCACTGCGTGATGAAGCTGGTGGTGGGTGCAACACAGCAAGACACCGACATCGTGTGCCGTGTGTGCTCTGTCCTTGTTGGTCCAGTGATGAGCTGATGAAGGAAGGCTGAAGGAAGGAAGGAAGGCTGAGGGATGGATGGATGGAGGGATGCGTTTCAACGTGCTTCCTTTCCACAACAACAACACACTCAACAGTGAACTTGTTTGTGTGTGGCTGGAAATCCAATGCACGATTCCCAACAATCGTCCACAACCACAACCAGCCAAAACGCCACAAACAAACAACAGCAACCAACCAATCCTGTCTTCCTTCTCTTGGTGCTGCGCCTGTCCTGCAAACAGACACCACGAACGAGGAAGGAGGAAGGAGGCACCCTGAACTTCTCCTTCTGTTCCCCTCTTCTCCTTGTTCTTCTCTGCTTGTATGGTGAGAACGACGGGGTGCCTGCAGGCACGTGGGATGGTGCTGCTGCTCCCCGTGTTGCTGGTGGCGGCGGCAGTGTGCTGGATGCCGTTCATCAGCAGCGTCGTTGGAGAGGTGACGATGGTGGAGGATGACGCGGGCGCATTGCACATCAACACGAGCGATCCAATGAACCAGCCGGTGTTCGTGAATGGTGTGAACGTGCACGAGACCCTCAGCACGCTGATGAGAACCGTGTCAGTGCAGCAGAACACAATTGATGCGCAGCAGAACACGATCGACGCACAACAGAGCGCAATCAATGCCCAGCAGGCGGCGATCGACCGTGTCCGTGGCAAAGTGTGTTTCCCAAGTGCCACGACGTTTGGCCAGCTGGGGTCAGCAGGCGCAAAGTGGCTTGGGGGCGCACTTGCCAACAATGGCCTGATCTACGCGGCACCGTACAACTCCCCTTCCGTGCTCATCATTGACCCCAGCACCAACACCATTGATACAACCACAATCTCTGGCTTTGCCTTGAATGGCGGGAAATGGGCTGGTGCTGTTCTGGCGCACAACGGCTTCATTTACATGTTCCCTTCGAGAAGGGAGACGGTGCTCATAATCGACCCAGCCACCAACACCAAGGATACATCGAGTATCCACTCCCTTGAACCCGGAGGAGACAAGTGGTACAGTGGCGTTGTGGCCAGCAACGGCCTCATCTTTGGCATTCCACTGTTTGCAACCTCTGTGCTGATCATTGATCCCGAGACCAACACAGCCGACATCACCACACTCTCTGGGCTGTCAAGCCAGGCATATAAATGGTATGGCGGCGTGCAAGCAGACAACGGCCTCATCTACTGCATTCCCAGGCTGGCTTCCTCTGTCCTCATCATCAATCCAGAGTCCCTGACGATGGACTCCACCACCATTACTCGCCTTGGCACAAGTGAAGCCAGCAAGTGGTACGGTGGCGTTCTTGCGCGCAGTGGCCTCATGTACACCATCCCAGCTTTCTCTGCAAGGACACTCGTCATCGACTCAGCCACCAACGCCACCAGCACGCTGGTTGTTGCAGATGCGACGACCTCAAACAAATGGATTGGCGGTGTGCTTGCACCCAACGGCAACATCATCGGCATCCCATATTTTTCGCGGTCCGTCCTCATCTTCGATTCAACCACCAACACCACCGACACCACAACCATCAACGACCTTGCTGGGACTGCCAAGTGGTGGGATGGCGTTCTCGGTTCAAACGGCCTCATCTACGGCATCCCATCTTACGCTGAGTCCGTTCTCGTCATTGACCCTGGGTGCTGAACACTTGGCTTGGCGTTTGTCGCTTCTAATCTTCTGTTCACACACACACACACACACACACACACACACACACACACACACACACACACACACACACACACACACACACACACACACACACACACACACACACACACACACACACACACACACACACACACACACACACACACACAC